GCGCCGGGCTTCCCAATCTGGCACCCACAGCCATCCAGGAATCGGCGCCTGCACAGGCAGCCACCAAAAATACCGACCCAAACGCAGCAGCCCCTCACACCCTGCCTGCCCAGGGCTTGTTTTTCTTTAAGCTTTGCATCAGGACCTTCGCTAACACTGCTGAAATTATTCCAGAGGGCTGCAGAGCATCCAGCCAGGACATCCCGGCATCCTGACAGCAGCTCCTTATTACACACCAGCGATGAATCATCCCTTTCAGCTGGTCGTTGCTGCCTTTTTCCCTTTAATAGTCCCAGTTGCAGCTCTGCAGAAGGCAGGACTGGGTTTGCCAGCGCCTCTGTGAAGAGGGTTTGTAGCTCGCTGGGTTTTGGCGGAGCCTTGCCGGAGCTCGGCATCCAGGTCGCTTGGCACAGCTGCGTTCCCTCCCCACCCTCCCCGAGCATCTCTCAGCTGGCTTCGTTTTCCAGCCTTTCAGCTCCAATTAAAAACGCTGAGCCCTTTTCTTTTTTTTTTAAACAAGGGGTTTGATGCTGCTATTCAGTGTAAATGGCTGAAATTTCGATCAATTAAGGACTTGCCGGTAATTTGTTTGGGAAAAACCCTTTTCTGCCTCTTCAAAACAAACTTTGGTGATGCCCTCAGCAGAGAACCGTGCTCTGATGCATCCACAGATCCAGAGAAAAATCAGCAGCACTGAAGTATTGTGCTTAAAATCCAGGTTGGAACACTCCAAGGGGCTGCAGAATAGGAAGCAGACCGCCGTCCCTCCTCCTGCTCTAGTAATTTTTTCTCTAAATGGCAGAAATACAGTCCAAAAAGATGCATTTCGGGGAGGGAGGTGGAAGGAGAAGAGCGGCAGCGTGACCTAAATCCGGCTGCACGTCGCCTGGAGGGCACAGGGAGCAAAGCACAGACCAAATGGAGCGCGGCATTCAGGGGATTCCTCTTCCTTTGCTGCCTTGGGCTTGGCTTTGTACTGGAGCTGGTTTTAGGAGATGAGGGACGCAGATCTGAGGCTCCCAGTCCCAGCTGGAGGCTAAACCAGGGCGGAATAAGCCAGGAGAGGAGCCCCAAGGGGCTCCCTGCCCTCGCCCACTCCCTGAGGCTGCAGACCTGCTCCAGGGGATGGAGCAGAGAGCTGGGGAGCAACGGAAAAACAAGCCTGGCTTGGTTTTCCCTACTCCATCCGTCATCCTGTGAGCAGGGGATGCTCCATCTGGGGGAGAGCCCTTGCAGCCTTTCCCCATCCTCACACTGCAGCAGGAACCTTCCAAGTGGCGCCTTTTCTCCTCCTGCCCCTGTTTTCTCCTGCACAAAGAGACAAGCCCAAAAGGCTGTTGTTGGCACTGGGAGCCGCAAGTTGATTTGTCTCCTGGAGCTAGGAGGGTGATGTTTCTCCTCCACCCACATGGCCTCAGAGTGTGGGGAGGGGGAACTTCGGGGCTCAGCCTGGCTCCTGTCCATAGTCAGCTGCCTGGGGTTTTTTTGCAAACATAATTAATTGTTCATCATCATTAATTTATTTTTTTTAATACAATTTTTGCAAACTGACCCACTTGATTTTTTGTTTGTTTATTGGGGTATTTTTCCCCTTCTCTTGTCTCTCTGGTGTCCCTTCCCGTTATGGTAGACTGACCCTTGGTTATCGTTGCAGAACTACGGCAGCGGCATGAGACCTCCACCCAACTCCCTAGGTCCCGGCATGCCTGGAATTAACATGTAAGGCAATCCCCATGCTAGAATATTTGATTGCCAGCTCTGACTTTGTGGGACTGCCTGGATGAAATCACAGTGTTGATGTTTTTCCTGTTTGATTTTGACCCCAGGGGGCCAGGCGCTGGCAGACCGTGGCCGAACCCCAGCAGTGCTAACTCAGTGAGTATCCCACAGTCCTTGGAGCTAGAGAGGGGCTGATCAGGGAATGTCCCGTAAAGGAGGCCATTCAAGAATCAACAGAATCAACCAGGTTGGAAGAGACCTCAAAGATGGAGTCCAACCTTACCATCGTTACTAGACCATAGCACTAAGTGCCACATCCAGTCTCATCTTGAAAACCTCCAGGGATGGTGAATCCACCACCTCCCCAGGCAGCCCATTCCAAGGCCTGATTCCTGTTATCTGAACCCTGCTGTTGAGAAGGGTTTCCCCAGCCTCTTGCTTAGGCTCCTGGGCCCTGGGACTCCCATCCTGGCTGGGTAGAGGGGACAGTGGGGGCTCTTGGCTGTGCCATGCTGGGATCCAGCCCATGAGAGCATCCCATGACTAAATGTGGCTCTCTTCTCCCTACAGATCCCATACTCTTCTTCATCGCCTGGTACATACGTGGTGAGTCCTTCTCCATCTGTCCATCCTGTCAGGATGTTATAGGAGCTCATGCAGTTTGGGGGGAAATTGGTGCCGTGGTGGGTGAGCAGGTTGGGTTTGGGGGTGTGATGTCCAGCTGGGGGAGGTGTGGGTAATGCTCGTGTTTGCACATCTGACACTAGTGTTGTCTCTCCGCAGGGTCCGCCCGGCGGCGGTGGTCCCCCAGGGACACCCATCATGCCCAGTCCTGCAGGTATGAGCCCCCCAAGACCTCCCTCTCTGGGGCCAGCCCTCCCAGGCTCCTGCCCCTTCTCTTGCCAAGAGATCCCCATTCCTGGATCTGCACCATTGAACATGGGCAACCCCTGTCCAACCAGAGATGACCAATTTATGTAGCTTTTGTCTTTCTGGGAAGCGAGCAGCAAGGGCTACTTGGTTTCAGGATGGTATTTGGGGATGTTCCTAAGTCCCCCTCTGGATTTGGATGCTATGGGGCTCGGGAAGGTGAGGAATTACCTCCCTGCACTTCACAGCTAGGAACTGAATTATTTTTCACAGTTGAATTTCTGTGATTAAAAACTTTGTGGATCTTCATTAAATACAAATTAGCCAGAAAATGGTGGTAGTTAGAGGGAATTTTAGGTGATAAAATACAAAAGAATGAGTTCAAGTGGCATGAGTTTGTTTTAATTAAGAAATGAATTAATCACCCGACTTACTGGGCTTCACTGTTCCACAGATTCAACAAATTCAAGTGACAACATCTACACAATGATTAATCCAGTACCGCCCGCAGGCAGTCGATCGAATGTAAGTCTGCTTTCTAATAATTTACATATCAGATACCATAACAAATCATAATTAACTTCATCAGTTGAGAGTAAAGCAGTTTAATTGATTTCAGCCATTTGTTACAAAACAGAAATAAAACAAACCATCAAAAAGCGATTAACTCTTGGGCGACTTTGTTAATTTTTTATGCTTATTAAGAGAGCGACGGTCCTGCTGCTCCGGCCGAGGTGGTGGCAGCTGCGTGCCCGGCGAGGTGCTGGGTTTTGTGGGATACAGGCAGCCTGAAATCTGTTGGTGCTGGTTGGAGGGAGCCCTCCGTGCTGCCGTGGGTCTGGCTCTGCCATCCAGCCAAATTTTATAGGTGAATTCACAGGATTGTGAGCACCCAGAAGTGTCTCACGGCCTCAGGGGGTGATCTGGCCTCAAGCTGCACTAGGAGAGGTTTAGACTGGATAACTAGGAAATTTTTTTTCATTGAAGATGTTGTTGAGCATTGGAACACGTTGCCCAGGGCAGTGGTGGAGTCACCATCCCTGGAAATGTTCAAGAAATGTATGGATATGGCACCTGAGGACATGGTTTAATGTTGGTGATGGGTTGCTGGTTGGACTTCATGATCTTAAAGGTCTTCTCCAACCTCAGCAATGCAATGATTCTGTGGTGTGTCCCTCCCCACCCTGCTCCAGAGGGATGACTGGGGAGGGGATGGTCCCCAGGAGCCACCATGGCAAATGTTTGGGGTGCTTTTATAGCTGATCTTGTTGTCTTTTTCGTCGGCAGTTCCCGATGGGCCCTGGCTCTGACGGCCCCATGGGCGGCATGGGTGGCATGGAGCCCCATCACATGAACGGATCGTTAGGTGAGCACCATGGCCGTGGCCTGGGGAGCCCTGATGTGCCTTAGGGGACGCTGGCAGAGCATCCCATCCTGGGGTCAGCCCCCAGTTCACACCAGTGCTTGAAGCAGAGCCTTTGAGTGGAAATCAGAAGTGGGGTGTGGAGGGTATGGGGGTCACAGCTGCATGCTCAGTAAGTCTCTTCTCCTTTCTCTCCCCTCTGTGCAGGGTCAGGAGACATAGATGGACTTCCAAAAGTAAGTGGTTGCAGAGTGGGTGTGTGGGCTTCTCCTTTCTTGGCACTGGGGTGCCTATGTGACCCCAGTGGATGGGAACACAGGAGGGACCATGACTGGGGCAGGCAGGGCTGTATCTTGCCCCCACGGTGTTTTGGGCGGTGTGGGAATCTGCTCACCACCTCCCTCCCATCTCCCACAGAATTCTCCAAACAACATAAGTGGCATTAGCAATCCCCCGGGCACTCCAAGAGACGACGGGGAGCTGGGAGGCAACTTTCTCCATTCCTTCCAAAATGACAATGTGAGTTAGTGCCTGGGATGGGGGAACAGCTCCCAGGGCATTGTGGCACAGCTGTGGGTGGGCTTGGTGGTGGGTGCCTTTTGTATCTCTGGTTGTGCTGTGCATGAGCTGCTCTGGGACCAAAAGTGGACAGGAAGAAATACACTGGTGGGTGGCAGCTTGGAAGCTTGGTGGGATGGGGGCGTACTGGTGGAGGGGAGAGGATCCACAGGGTGGAGAGGAGCCCATGCAGATGCAGCCAGCTGTGCCGGCCTGGCTGAGTCAAGGCACTGTGGGTGGCTGCAGACATCCCTCCTCTTCTGCCTCCATTAGCAGCAGAGACACGTGTGCATGTTAATTATTTGTTTTAAATTGTATCTCACCACATACTGTTCTGCTGATTTTCTTCCCGGAAAAGCAAGTTACAGCGCAGATTATGCCCTGATAAATTCGAGTCTCCAACATATCCTCTCCTCCTGGTTTATTAGATCCAATTAGGTTGCTATGTAGATGTCATCTTGCATCCCCCTTCACTGTCCGGGGGTCTGACCCACCTGGTTTCTCACCCTGGCTCTGTCTCTCTTGCAGTATTCCCCCAGCATGACGATGAGTGTGTGATTTCCCTCCCCCTCCTCCTCTCCAGGATCAAGAGAGTCAGCTGCCGTTCGGAGGATCTCAACGAATTATGCAAGAAGAAGAAGAAGAAGCTAGGTGTATGGGCAGGGACATGCGTGGCGGGGGCCAAACCCCCAGGTTTAGTTTCATGCAATAAAAAGGCTGAACTTTTTATTCCATAAAACATGAAGGACAAAACTTAAAATATTTCAAGACATGACAAGACCCTTCTTTGTGCAGAAGGGTTTATATATGTACATGACACTTCTTTTTGGAAACAAACGGAAGCCTCTAGCACCCAACTCCGATCTCTTTGCTTTGTTCTTTTAAATAAAGACAGAAACCGAACCTGTTGTATGTTTGTGCCGTGCGACACCAGGAAGCTAGTCTAGATATGAAATCTCATGTTGTCTCTGTTGTAGTCATTTTTTTAAATAAACTGGACAGTTTACAATGGTGGTTTTCGTTCAGAAGGCCTGTTTTTCTTTTTGGTTTTGGTTTTTTTTCTGGTTTTGGGGGTTTTTTCCCTTCGATTTTTGGGGGATTTTTTTGTTCATTCGCAGCACAACGCTTCCTCCTCCAGTTAACAAGATCTGCTTTGGGGAAGAGACTCCACCACCTCGTTACAAACTCGTTAGCGCAGGTGACCCCTTCTAGGATCACATCCTCGAATGAATCGTGATCTTGCTCTCTGTGACTGTGGCATGCACTGTGTTAGTCTTTCCCCCCCTCTCTGAGTACAAGAAGAAAGCTCTTGTCCCTCCCTTCCCCAGAGTCCTTCAGCTGGTTGACTGCAAAAATCGATTTTTTAAGTCTTTTTGTTTGGATTTTTTTTACTCCACTGAAAGAAAGAGTTAATCTGACCTGGGACTTTGTGATCTCCAGCTAACTTTGGGATTTTCTGGGGGGGTTTTATTTGCTTTGGGGGTATTTTGGGGAGGGAGGAAGGGTTCTTTTCTTTAGAGATGTGCTCTTGTCAGGATTTCACTTCCCTATGATTTGGAACTGGATGGAGATATTTTTTAAGGACTTCTTGTTGTTAAAATGTAACCTTGCTATTCTGTAGGCTCGCTCTGTAATAAGGAAATAAAGATTAATGGCAAGCAGCGAAGGCCCTTCCTTCTGGTGGGAGAGGAAGGGACAAGCCAAGGCGGCGGGTTGGGATCTCTGTACATGACACTACCCTGTAGTTTGGTCTTTGTTTTTTCTCCAGCTCCCATTTCTGCTCCATGTATATCATATTCTGTAAGATATTCTCTCCCTTGGATTTGACCTTTGTGCGGATTATTGAAAGCATTGTATCTTGTTTCAGTGTTTTTTCTTACCTTGTAGTCTGGTTCGAAAATTACCAAGAGGGGAAAACAAAACAAAAAAAAATAATGATTATACATTGTAGTTTGTGTACGATATTTGTTGATAATGTTTTATTAAAGGGATGTCTTTTTTCCGCACCCCTTCATTGACATGTTTCTGGGGGACATTCGGCTTGTTTTTGTTACTCTGACTGCAAGACACGAGATGACAAAACTCCTTTTTTTTTAGTGTGTAATATGATTTGAATTTTTTTTAATGTTTGCCTTCTTTTTCCTAGGCATTTTCATTGTGCTTTCCCTGTAGAAAGTCACTGGGGAGGGAGGGGTGGGCAGGATGGGGAGGGCTGAGGGTGTCAGTCTCATAATTACAGTCAAGTTAATACTTCCCAAGTAACAACAATGCAGATTTGTTGCATCACAAATATCCCAAGGGCTCCCCAAAGGGGTCAGCTTTTTTTCCCCTATTCCATGTAACATCTTGTTCAGGGTTTTGTTTTATTTCTTCCCCCTTCTTTTTTCTTTCATTCTGAGGTGAGGAAATGAAAGGTCTGGGTTTAATGTATTTTAAAATGAATAGCTAAATTATTGTCTTCATTGGTATGGGATGGTTTTGGAACGAAACGGTTCTCCCCCCTTCTCCCCCTCCCCATGCTGTAATAAATATCAACATAAACATTTGATTTCGGTGCTCTGCAGTTTGTTCCTGGTGTTTGCTGCCAGACCCAGGGCGGGAAACAGCCTGGTGTTTTTCCAGCCTTTCTCGAGGACCAAACCCCACATTTGGGGTGCAGGAGAGGAGGTGATGCAGAGCCGAGAGGTGCTGTTTTGGGGGCAGGGATTTGGCTGTGGTGCAGGACCCAAGGGGGCTGGGAGAGGTTTGGGTTAATGATTTGTTTCTTGGGTTGTTTTTTTTTTTGCCTAAGCATTTTGAAAATTTAGCTCTCCACCTAGAAAAATGGTCAGTGTTATCTGCACTGGGCTGAGGATGTGCTCACTGCCCCCAGCCCACCAGGCTGCAGGCAGAGGGGGTTTTGCAGGGCTAAAAAGGGGGATGGTTTTGTACACTGCCCCCCAGGCTTTCCCCATTAGAGGCTGGAGAAGCTGGGATGGCAGTGAGAGGCTGGTGTCCCATGCAGCAGCTCCCTGGGAGAGGAGCTGGGTCCTGCTGTCTCCCATTCCTGGAGTCCTGCACTGCTGGGAGGTAAGCAAGGGAGGGAAAGACACAAGTGTCAACTTCAAATACAGATAGATAGACAGACAGACACATACATGGGCTTGCAGTGGGGTCTGCTGACCCCTCCTCAGACAAGGACTGGCTGCAGTGCCAAGTAGGTGTGAGCACCTTTGCAGGATCAAACAGCTCCAGGCTCTGAAGGAGCTGCTGGGGTTGAAGAAGCCCAGGTGAGGCTGACCTGATTTCCTTAATGGGCATCATCAGAGGCTGCTGCAGCATTTAGGGAGAGATTGGGAATTTTCAAGCCTGTGGATGGGTGGTTGCAAGTGCCAGGTGCCTGAAACACTTCTGGGAGCTGCTGTCTGAGACTTGTTCTCTGCCTTGGACTAGTTGAGGCAGGACAGAGTTGGCTGTGAGCATGCAGCTCTCTCCCTCCTTGTGGGAATGTTCACGTGTGGGCTGTGGGCTCGGGGGGCTGTGAGCCATCCTGCAGCTTTGCTGGTCCTGGGGAATGCTCCTACCTGGCACAGGCACTCACAGCCACATCACTGCTGCAATCCCAGCAGCGAGTGCTGTGTGGTCATGGATACCCACGGAGCAGAAGGGTGAGGGGGCAATGCTTGGATGGCTGCTGGGTTTGGGAGCCAGCCAGAGAAATCATGGTGCCTGCAGAGCTCATTAGCATGTCATTAACGGTGGGGCTGAGGAGCTGTGTTTGCACCCTTTGCTACCTGTGCAGTTTTGCTTCCAGATTAATGTCCATGCACAGGGTCCACATCTGTGTCCCAGTGTGGATTTTGGTCCAGGCAATCACATCCCTCTGTGCTTTGCAGAAAGTAGAGTGTGAGCATTGTCCATCACTTGGAATCATGACCCCCAAGGGTAATTAGTTAATGCTGATGAGGAAATCCTGCCCTCCCAGCTCCCTGGGGCCATCCCTGCTCAGACTGCCCACCCTGGCCCTCCTCAGCTGCCCAGAGCCACAGGTTCCTGCACAGCTGCCTGTTGTGTTTTTATTGCAGGGCACAGAAAAGTCCTTCCCGTTGGTCCTTAAGGGTTACAGGCTAATTTTATTAAATATTACCATGAGAAACTGCCAAGTTCCCTCCTCTAAACGTCTCCAAAGCCCAACCTCAGGGATAATTGTCTCCCGCATTAGTTTTCATTAAATTAAATGTGGGAGGAGGATCTGAACAACCAGGGGCTCCAGGCTGAGCACGGTGTGTACTTGCTGGCGTGATGAGTGCAGCCTGTGGAGCTGGATTTTGCACCGGGAGCGGTTCTGTGGAAGGGAGTGTGGAGCTGGGATGGCACACCATGCATCATCCTCAGGCAGGCTGGGGGCAGGATGCTGCACAGCTCTCCCCTGGGCAGGCAGGCTCTGCCAGGGCCTCATCCCAGGCTCCTGCCTCCCTGTTCTTGCATGTTCTGCTTCCCTGGCTGTTCATTAAAAGTTAATGCCTGGCCCTTGGTCCGTGCTGAGGTAATGACATTCATCTGCTGACGAGCCTTTATAATTTATTGATGCCAACCCAGATGTGCCTCTGTGACCCATTGTTGGGCTCCCAGTCCCACCTCCCTCAGCTGGGCCGATTCCAGCAGGTCACACTGGAGGAACTGGGGGAGCTGAACCATGCACAGTGTGCTTGGGAAGAGCAGCAGGACACCACATACGTGTGTGGCTGACTGTGGTAGGACCTGCCTGGTTCATGGACCATGATGGAGCATCCATGCAAGGTGTTAAGCTGGGAGCCCCACTCTGCCCCCCCTGAGCTCCCCTCTGGGACCTCGGGAGCTTACCCTGCATAAGGATCAGCTGCTCCTCCCCCCACAGGGGAGAGCAACCGTGCCCTGAGCAAACCAGGGACATCTTGCATGCTTGTGTACAGTGCCCTCATCCCCACTGGCTTGCTGATGCCTCACATAACCTCTGAAACCTTGTTCTCCCACTGACTTCCTGCCATTTTTCACCACTCCCTTCGCTCTGCCTTCATCCATCCCTCACTGTGCTCATGCTTTGTCTCTGCTGAGCTTAGAGGCAGCAGGACTCCAGTTTCCCCTGGTGTCTCATCTTCTACTGCCTGCCCCGAGATGTCTTTGTTGAGAGGTAAAAGCGTATCTGAAAGGACTTAGCCTCTTTCCCACACAGACCATCTTCACAGATTCCCACATCTACTGGGAGCATGTGAGGTGTTTTGCTTCTCCACGCCCCCTTCCCACCACAGACGCTTTTTCCACCAGGCTTCCTCAGGGAAACTCTCTCCTCAGGAATGCTAATGGGCAGCTGGCAGCCCGACAGGGCTCCCTCCCTAGGATGGGTAATGACCCGAAGGCGGAGAGCGAGAGGATGTCAAGCAGGGTGTGTGTGACACAGCAGGGAGCCAACAGCCTGCGAAACAAACACCTACCGTGACAGGCTCCACAGAGCACGGCGGTGTTAAAACGGATCCCCAAGTACCTGGGTGCAAATCACAGCCCTGAGCAGATTTACATGGATGAGCTGAATTAGGCATCCCTCGGGCAGGCAGGATTAACATGGTTCAGATCAATGCAACACTTACTAGATTATTCCTCTTTCAAGCATTTCTCCTAACTAGTGAGGGATTTGTAGATGTAACTCAGTCGCTGCTTCCCAATTTTCTAGGTGCAACTCAAAGGTGAGTGCTGAAACCTGCGGGCTGGAGCTGCCTGATGGACTGGGGCTGGAACACACAACCGGGGTGTTCATCCAGATGGTCAGAGATCCCAGAGCACAGACCAGCCTCTGACACAAGACCCTGAAGTGAGATGCACTTCTTGGAAATATGCTCTTCCACCCCTTAAAATAGCACAGGCTGTCCTCTTCCTTCCCATGTGCTGGAGGGTATCAGAGCTGCAAAACATTCTACATTTGGCTGCAGCTAATTTAGCTTTCGTTTTACAAAACCCACACTAATCCCCCCATGTTCAAAAGAATATGCTTCCTGCTCAGTTAACTCTGTGTGGCAGGGAGAAATTCTGCCTTTGTATTTTTAGCAGCAAAACACCAGCTACAGGCACCAAAGTTTCCTGCTACATTCTGCACCACTTTCCCCCAAATGCACAGGTCTCTTCATCCAGGATTGGGGGGATGAAAGAACTGTGGTTCCACAGATCCAACAAAGCAATCTCTCCGATTAAGTGCTTTGGGAACTAAGCGTGGGGCAGCACGACGCATCCCGCAGCAGCCAGGAGCAACACAAAGTCAAAGCCAGGCAGAATGAAAAAGGCTCATGTCTCAGGCTCCCCCCTTGAAGCTTTGGAAGTCTCTTCTGCATTCAGAGGGACTCAAAGGAGCCTCGGAAATAGGTTTGAGTCTGGCTCTGTGCAGAAGCTCCCTGAGAGCAGAGCCTGCGCACAGGAATAATGACTGGCTTATGTTCTTTCCAGGATGTGCAGGAGGATGCATTTGATGACTCCCTCTAACCCAAATCCGGAGGTGAGCCCCTAAAAATGAAAAGAGTTTCTTCACGCACTATTTAGTTTTAAAAAAAATGTTTTACTTTCAGTAATAATATAATTTATTTTTTCAAGTAAATTAATCCACTTCTCTTTAATTATATGACGGCTCCGGCAAAGAGAAGCAGCAGGTACAGTTGGTGAAGTATTTTCATTTGAGCTGAATTTCACACAGTTCCATGCAGATACAGTGCCAGAAACTTCTTGAATGTGTCTGGCTCAAAGCCATGAATTCCAGCGGGTTTCTGCAGGGAGAAAGACACGGATGCTCAGTTTGCAGTGAAGTGATTAATGGAGACAAACAACGGCTTTAAACATGCTCCAATAAGACCTCGGGCATGGCAGCTCCCAAATTGTGCTCTCCCTCCCCAGAGGGGTTTGTGTGGGGATAAACTTCCACTGGTGTCAATCTCAGAGGGCAAAACCCCTTTGTCCAGCAATCAGAAGCCCTCCTAGTACAACCAGTGCTCACAGCCCTGTGCTGTTCACTCCCCAGCAAGGCTGACAGTGCCATGTAAGCATTTCCTTCATCCAAGCTGGTTTTAAACAAGTGTGTTAGGAGATGGTGGATTACAGACAGGGATATCTGGACATAGGAGCAGCTATTAAGCCTGGCATGTGGCACATCAGCACTACAAACACTCAGGAACTGTCTCCCTCAGGAACACCTGCTTAGGGAAGAATGAGGCTGATGCCCGTGTCAGGTCCCCTCGGCTGGTTTAAAACATCCAGCTGAGGTGAAAGGGCAGGATTCCCAGGACCATTTCCTAAACCCCCAGCTGAGGTTAAAGGGCAGCACTGCCAGGACCACTTCCCAAGTTTTCCTTACTGTCACAACTCTCTTCTTGATTTCTGGACGGCACAGGGCTCTCTCATACAGACTCTGATCAGAGTCAATCCAGACCAGATTTTTTATGCCATCGCTCGAGACAAGGTCTGTTGTGTTTAACTGGAACACCATGAACTGGAAGAGCTGTCCATCTGTGCCAATGCTTTGCACCACTACTGGCTGCTCCAAAACCTTGGGATCATCCTAGGAAAAGAAGTGGGGGGTGGGAAACAATGTTTAAAACACCAGTTACTACAGAAATTGTATGAGTTCTTGCTGATTCTGCATGTTCTGTGCTGGTTTAAAGCCAAGATTTTAATAAATGTATTGTTACCTTGCCCAGAAAATTACTCTAGTCAAACAAGTTTTGAATGTAGATTTTGTATTTTAATTAAAATTCCTCCTTCAGCCAGCAATGAAGTGTCAATTTACATACTGAGCTGTGGGACGGGTTAGAGCTCTGCAGCTGAACTCACTCCCTGGGTCCTACCCATCACCACCCCAGTGCGTGTTACATCATGAACACACTGGATCACATCAGTAACCTGAAGGTTGGGGTTAGACCTCTGGACAGGAAAGTTTGGATGGGAAAACTACTGTAACATGCCACGGCAAGGGAATTTCAGGACTCTTTCCACTAGCTGCAGCACCAGAGGGAGAACAAAGGCCCAGGAAGGCAGCAGCAGCCTCCCATACATACCCCGTACAGTGCCTTGGCCTTGGCCAGCGCGTTGCCAAACGCAAACATCAGCATTTTAGCACGAAGCTGTTCTGGTCTGAACCTGTTCGGGCGAATGTTGGCTGACTCCAGGAAGAACAGAGTGTGAGGATGAGAGTATGGATAACCATCTTTAAAACCTGAATGGCAGATAATCATGTCAGAAATCGCTCAGTAAGACCCTGCACAGCCAAGGTTCTCTCCATTGTCCTCAGGGACTGTTCAGTAATTCACTGACAGTAATTCCCTGGGGTTTAGGTTCTTCGCCTCAGTCCTGCTTAGGCCACAAAACACTTGTACCAGGTGTGGAGCACTTGCGCTACACACCCAGAATCACAGAATCAAGGTTGGAGGAGACCTTAAAGATCATCAATTCCAACCATTAACCTGTCACTCCTCTGTAACCACTAAACCATGTCCTCCAGCGCCAGATCCAGACACCTCTTAAACACTTCCAAGGATGGGGACTCCACCACCTCCCTGGGCAAGGCAACCTACTGCCTGAACACCTTAACAGTGGAAAACATTTTCCTGACATCAAATCCTAACAGAGAATCACAGAATTTTAGGGATTGGAATGGACCTTACAGATTATCTAGGCCCAACCCCCTGCCCTGTGTGAGAACACCTCCCACCAGAACAGGTTGCTCAAGGCTTTAGCCAACCTGGCTTTGAACACTGCCCAGGTGGGAGAATCTACCCCCACAGGAAAAAACGTCTTCCTAATATCTAACCTAACCCCTGCCTCAGCTTTTGGCCATTCCTAGTTCTCTTCCTGCGGCCATGGCAGGAGACCATCCCCCACCTCTTTCCAACCCCCTGTCAGGTAGGTGTAGAGAGCCATCAGGTCACCCCTGAGCCTCTTCTCAAGGCTAAACAAACCCAAACCTGTGCCTGGCTCCTTTGTCTCTCATTCTCACACTCTCAGCTGCCTCCCAGAAGGACAAAGACTCCAGGTTAACCCAAACACTTACAACATTATCACCAGCCGCTGGACTTACCTGTGTCATTGAATTCTTTGTACACATTCACTTCCTGGAGATCAATTGTAGGTGAGATGGGATAGAAGGTCTCCAGAACATGTTCTTTGGTGGCCAGTATCTCCTCCTTGGAGGCTACTGGTGGTATTGGGGCCATGGAGTTCATGAGTATTCCGTTCAGGCCACGGACCTGAAGGAGAATGGATTCTGGGGAGGGAAATTAGGCAACATTCAAACATTGGTGCAGTCAGGTTAAGGAAATATGTACACTTCCTTTAGCAAGGTGCAAAGCTCTCCCCCTCACCTGCAAACCCATTTTAAACAGTAGCTCAGCTGTAGGTTCTAAAATACCAACGCTAATTGCTAGGGTTAAGTTCTTAACTAAATGTACTTAGAAAAACAACAGTTCTGATCTGGGACACAAAACAATAAACAATCAGGTCTAGGAAACTGGTTACCTTCTCCTGCCATTTTGTCACTGCTGTCTAACATCTAATGATCTCCTCAGGGACTGTATCCTGCCACCATCTGCTGCCCATGCTGAGAGCACTACTGAAACCAGACTGAATTACCTGGTTCCAGAAATTGTTACATTTTGTCATAGAAGCACAGAGTTTTAGGAGTGGAATGGACCTTAAGAGATCATCCAGCCCCAACCCCTGCCTTGGGCAGGGACACCTCCCACCAGAGCAGGTTGCTTAAGGCTTTATCCAAACTGGCTTTGAACACTGCCAGGGTTGGGGCAGTCACAGCCTCCCTGGGCAACCTGTGCCAGTGTCACCACCCTCACAGGAAAAAACTTTTCCTAATATCTAACCTAAATTGCCACTCCTTCAACTTGAACCCATTTCCCCTTGTCCCATCAATACAGTTCCTAACCAAAAGACCCTCTCTGGCTGCCCTGTAGCCCCTTCAGATCCTGGAAGGTCGCTATGAGGTCTCCACACAACCTTCTCTTCTCCAGGCTGAACAGACCCAACTCCCTCAGCCTGTCCTCAGAGGGGAATTTTCTCCAAGTCCTCAGCCTTAAACCTAGCAGCTTTGTCACCTCTCTTACCTTACAGAGCTAAATGCTTCTCCCACAGCAGCAACTAACCTCTTTCCCACATGGCTGATATCCTGTAGTTTCTAGCCAACATCCTTTTATTCAAAGAAGGATATTTTGCAGTGATTAGCCGGCATAGATGTATCAAGTTTTCAAACAACACTGGGCTTTGGGAGGAGAAAAAGAATAGTTACATTAAAAATGGGATCCTAATCATAGAATTTTAGGGGTTGGAATGGATCTTATGGATCATCTGGTCCCTGGGCAGGGATACCTCTCACCAGAGCAGGTTGCTCAAGGCTTCATCCAACCTGGCTTTGAACACTGCCAGGGTTGGGGCAGCCACAGCCTCCCTGGGCAACTTGTGCCAGTGTCTCACCAACGCTGTAAAACTACTGTATGTAAAACACATCATGGTACAACATCCCCAAACAGCTAACATGGACTAATAACCCACACTGCTGTTCCAAGTTGGCAGAGCTTACCATGAGGTGTTTAAAAACTAACATCCTGCATCAGCCTGAAGCAGAGCTCAGGTTGAAACAGAGACCTTGGCCTGAAGGAAGCTTTAACGGAGTGCAGCGGTTGTGTCAGTGCCGCCGCCAATGCTCAGAACTGGGAGTTTATTTGTTTGGGCTGTTGTACAAGTTGACAACCTGACACAAAGGGTTTTGGACAGCGAGTGAGTCCCTTTGTAGTGTTAACTCCGGTTCTTTACCTGTCACCTGCGGTGCACGGCTCGCAACAATACCACAACTACACACGGCAGACTCCCCTGCGGCCGAGGACTCACCAATATTGCTCCCTCTTGGGGGCAACTTCCGTGGTGTTCCAGAACCTGGCGCGGGAGATGGCCTGCATCACCCTCTCCTCGTGCTCCTGCAGCCCGAGCGCGGCGCCGCTCAGCACGGCCGGCGGCAAACCTTCCACCCGCTGCGTCT